AGTTATGATATCGTGCTTCTTTTGTTCCACGGTTATCAAATTAATTTGTGTTCTCTTTAAGGACCTCTTTCAAATGAAAAATAAAAAGTATAGAAAAAAGGGTCAATTAGCTAAAGTGACTAAATCTCCTGCACTTTCTGCAAGCAGAAGCATTTGGAATATATCCATTTCAGCCAAACAAGTCAAATACCACTAATTTTTCTTATTTTATTTATTCTGCTTATGAGTAAGTATATGTGTTATAGATGCAAATTATGAATTTCTATTTGTCATTGTGCAGATTAAAGATTGACTTGCCTGCCACAAGCTTTAGCATCCCAGCAACACCAAAGATTTCCTTAATTTTAGGAACACGGAGTGAGCTGTAATGCGGTATATCATCTAAACAAGAAAATGTACATCCAAAACACATTCTCAGTTAATGACAATAAGAGGTAGGAGAATGTTAAATCAGAGAAAAAGATAAAAAGCTAACCGATTAAACTCATAGACGCATCTGCCCGACTGACTGCCAAATGTGAACCAGAAGATCCATCAGAAGGCTCAATAACATATTGATCCGGAAACTCCCAGAGCCTCATCCTTGTATATAACTTATGTCCATGATCTGTCTTCTCCATGGTTACACGAGTTCGATCACCACTGAAACAAAATAAAATAGTACTGATTAAATATAAAATAAATAAAAAAAACTTTTTATGATACTGCAAAACAACAGGCAAGTGTAGGTAAAGGACATCTCCAACCCTATACCAGTTTTTTAACCAAAATAGCACAAACATCACATGAAATGGTTTCCCCCACTAATATCAATCCAACTCTTTGCACCAATTATATTTTATCTTTTTTATTCCACTTTACCTTTATTGAAGAGCAAACAACAATAACAACAACGAAACCCAACATAAAACAAACTCAATACCTGTTTGGAAACAACGTTAGGGTTTAGCATTCGTGTTTCTAAAAATGCTATCTAAAGGAGGAAGTGTTTAGCTTCATCGTTTTCAAAGTTAATTTGCACCATTAAAAAAGGAAAATTTCATATGCCAATACTCCTAGAAATTTGAGATTTTCTTGGAGTATTATTGTAAAAATATTGATTTGTTTGGGATTGTTGGTGATAATTCTACAATCTTGGAGTATTTGTATAAAAACTCAAATTTGTGGGGGTAGTCAAATGAATTTTTCCATTAAAAATTAATCCAAAACACGCTCATGTCTTATACTCCCTCCGTCCTAAAATGTTCTTCCCACTCACTTTTTACCCGGTCAAACTTTAATCACTTTCTTTACCTATTTTCATGATAAAATAATATAGTCTTGTCACCACTTGTTTTGTAGAACTTTTGATGTAGTTTTTAAATATATAAATTTTATTTTCTAATTTTATACCTACAATCAAATAAATTGAATTGAAAATAAAGTCGGTCAAACCTCGTAAAATGAACCGGGAAGAACAATATAGGACGGAGGGAGTAGTAGTTTATCTATTTGGGGGGGGGAATATGGTACTACCTCCGTCCCAGGGTATTCATTCAGTTTGATTTTTCCGAATTAAACTGGACAAACTTTGGATCTCAATTAAATAAATATACAATGTATATTAGAATAAAAATGATTTTATTAGATTTAAATTGTTTAAAACTTTCAAAACTTTATTTCATTGCATTAATATGCAATAAAAAACTGAGAGTAATTATGGATAAAGTTTGTCCAGTTTGACTCGAAAAAGGCAAACTGAACGAATACTCTACGACGGAGGGAGCATTAGAGTATGGTCTCGTGGTGGCTTGTAGGATGTCCACCCACTTGAATATTTGATGGTTTTTGGCAGCTCCTTCAAAGGTCAATTCGGCTCCATTTGTCTGCCACTTCCATCGTGGCTTATAAGCCTCGTCTCATTGAGTATCTTTTAATCATTTATAGTGAGCTACGCTCAATTTATCATGTATAATGGTATCATAATGAGGTCTATGGCCAGAACATTACTTTCTAGTCTTGTTTATGGAGTCTAGGGTGTCCAGAAAAAGGATCTAACGTGATTAAATACAACAATCACAATCAAACCATAACCCCAAATCAAAGAATCAGCTACGCACATGAACCAAAACAAAATCCAATATGATTAAAAATCAAACTAAAATGCTCGGGCAGCTCAGATCGTACCTCTCATTCGCAAACCAGATCTGTAAAAAAAACAAACAACAAATCGAAATAAGGAGATGAATGAAAGGAAGAAATGATTACCTGATAGGGCATGAACGAGCAGGAAAGATTGGATCGATAATCGGATCGGCAAACGAAAAAGAAACAATCAATCGAAACCAGAAAACGGCGGAGAGATTAGTGCAATGGCCGCCACTACCTTACTACTTTTGTGGGGGAAGAATAGTGGATTATATTGAAGGATTGAAGGTGGAGTGAAGAAACAAGGGCCAGGAAATCCATAAACGCCGCCATATTACTATAACCGAAATAACGAACAGAGATCTTAGCGATGGTAGCCCTATTTAAAACCCATCATTTCAACACTTCTTTAATCTCTCAAGGAAATCAAATTGAAAAATCTTTTTTTCAATGGGTAAATCCTAATATAAATTTACATTTTGATGGCTTACACTATACAAAATGTCAGTATGGTCGCAAGAATTTTATACTAAATTTTGTATCAATATAAATTATCAATCTCGTACTTATATTGAAATAAAACATAAGAACTTTTTGATACATTTTGGTATACAATTTTTTTGGTACAAGTAGATTAATTCATCTTTTTTAGAACAGATGGGTATATATTATCTTTATCACGATTAATACAAAAAAGTTATTATGTATATTTGTTAAATTATTTTATATATCTCTTCGGAGCATACTCTTTGTGTGATCCAATTGTATTGTTATATACTTAAATTTTGAATTTTAATTTTAAAAATAAACATATTTACAAAAAAGTATATTAAGGAAGTAAATTAGCAAACCAGATTAACTATTAAGAATTTGGTCTACAATGGGGAAGATTATTGAACTAATTACCAAAATATTTAAGGTGGAAGCACAACTCAATTAGATCCCATGGGACTTGCCCCTACTCGAAAATAGAGAGGTTGTTTGAGACTAAAGACAAAAAGAGTGAGAATGAACACATACACACGACAAAGTCAAAAATCAAATCTCTCTCAAATATAGATTTACAAGAATACTTATACATAGTATGACACTGTTAACGAGAATTGCTTTTGAGATGTGACACTTTCTTGTAGACACATGATTTATATTATTCTAATTACTATTGTAACCTTTTAAAATTTAGTTTTCTCATCATTGTTCAGTTGAATCTCACTTTTGGCGTCACTTGTTAAGACGTCAAATAACACCTTATGCTGATGCAGTCATGCTCATTGTTGATCGAACAACTTTTATATTTGGGCCGAATTCTCATCTCTTCATTTCTAGAACGTGGGAGTTGATTTCAATAATTGACTAGGCAACAATCACAACTAACAAAATGTTGACCTAACTTCAAATTCTTTATTTTTGTAATATGGGAATCGACTTTATTATTTGAGAAAACTTTTTTATTTTAGTGGGGTTCACAAGCTACAAGTTTGTGATTTTGTAATTTTTTTTATTTGTGACTATTTTTCGATTTATTTGGATCTAATTTGTTGTGATTAGGGGATCTTACCACAATAGTATTCCTTCCCATTTTTAAAGTAATGACTCTAAGGGGGTGTTTGTTTTTTCTGCAGGAAAAGGTCTGCAGTCTGCGGACCACTACTGTAGACATCTGCAGGAGAAGTGGTGGACTGAAGGTTTGCGGTCTGCAAGAAGAAGACTGTTTGTTTTTTAATGTCTGTAGATTGCTATATAAATTAATGGTAGTAGTGTACGGTGGTGGTGTATGGACAATTGTGGTGGTGGTGGAAGGTGGTGGTGAAGGGTGGTGGTGGACGTTGACGGCGGTGGTGGTGGACNGGTGGACGACGATGGTGATGGACGGTGACGGTGACGGTGGACGGTGGTAGTGGTGGACGGTGGCGGTGGACGGTTGTGGTGGTGAAAAGAAGTAGAAAAAAAGGAGAAGATGTTAGAAGATGTTAGAAGACATTGGTTAATGTCTTCTCCAATAAGATGCCAGGAAGACCTTTTTGAGTGAAATGTCTTCCAAAAAACAAACAATCTGCAGGGCCCATCATCTGCGCGCGTCTGCGCGGCGCAGACAAAAGACGCCAGAAGGTCTTCTGGCAGGAAAACAAACACCCCCTAAATGTGTATGAGGTAGAAGACCTTTCATTTGTCCAATGTTCATTGATCATGTATTATACTTGAGTGATAGAGTGAACTGTAATTTTTATAGATTTAAATTTATCAAACAGAAATGAGTATATTATGAAAAGCACAAGTAGATAGTTTGGTCAAACTACTTTAAAATTGAAAAAAATTAAAAAAGCTTAACGTTGTTAAATTTTGAAAGTCTATTTGATGAGAGAAATATACTTAAAGAATAATATTTTCTATCAATGTAGGAAAATAATTTTTTTTTACTTTTGAAAGAAATTCTTACTCACTCTTCATTATGTCCATTGGTGCTCCCTCCCCATCTATCCCATGCCCCACCCTGCCCCACCCCATGACCACCTGCCCCTCGTACTCTGCCACTCCCAACCTGCCCCATCTATCTCTGTTAGCCTCGCCCTAAGCCCCACTACCCGCCACTTGTCACCCTATGCCACCCCACTTGCTACCATGTTCAGCTTGCACGACTCGCTTTTAATGTTATTAAATATTTTTAAATTGTTTTAAACTATTATTTAAATATTAATAATGAAAAATGGTTTTTTTTTTTTGAAAAATCTCTTTTTATCAAACAATGGGAAAAGTGAAAGAACTTTTGTTTTCTTTTGGAATAATAATTTATTTCCAAAAAATATTTGTTTGAGAAGATTTTTCACCCAAACAAATACTCCGTTACTTCCCAATGCATTTCGTGTGATTGGGGAGGGTAAGCTTTTGCAGTGCACGAATCCGCCGTCTCTGACCACCTGCTCGCCGTCGAATACACCAAAATCGTTTAGATATATCTCCTCCAGCGTTTTACAAAAAGAAAAAAAGCCGCCTTCTTGATGATTCTCTCTAATGGCGGACAATCCTTCTTCCTCAGCCTGACAGTGCACTCGTAGCTTTACCAAACTCCATGGCCGCGATTTGTCAGCGGAACAGAAGAAACTTTTTCCTGCCCCAGCTCAAAATCCTTATTTCTACTACTACCACTACTACTCATCAGGTTTGAAACTATTGTCTTGTCGATACTCATTTCTCGAACACCTAGAATCTGAATGGCTCATAAATATATCCCTGTTGCAGAAGTTCAATCAAACATTGGCTGGGGGTGGTATTCAGCTCGAATCCAAATCCGAGCAGGGTAAGTGAAGTCCTAAACTAAGTTTTGGTGTGGAATTCATGTTTCTTGTAATACATTTCTATTTGAAATCCAGTCATCCATATTGGCAAATATGTGTGATGTTGTCAGTTGTGTTTTAATTTGGCTTAAATGGTTGAATTGACAGAATTTGGGATGGAATTGATTATGTAATCCCATAAAATGGCCTTTTTTTAAATAAAAAAAGTGAATGAAAATTGGAAACACCCCATGCTCTCTATAACTTGATGGATAACATTGTATTTTGCTCATGGCCATCATCATTAGCACCATTTTAGCTATGCTGAGAAGGTGGAGAGATAACACACTGACTTTTACCATCATTTTTAAAGACATCATGGCATCATGGTCATCAACCATTTTTTGAAAAGTACATAATTTTTTTTTAGTCATGGCCATTATCATCAACACCTTAATCCAAGCTAAGTTGGGGTCGGTGTATGGATAACATTGTCTTTTTATCCTCATACTCCTTATTACTTTATTTCCCATTTTTGGCATTGTAAGGGTGAATCCATGCTTACTGTTTAGGGCAAATTGAATTTACAAAATGGAGGAAGTTGGACGCAAGGAGCTTTGGGATAACTGGATCTGTAATACCATTATCTCCGTGGTTGGTTATGAGGCGCCTTAGAGCGAAAGGTCACACCTTCGGTTCCATGTGCATTATTTTAGCTCATATTTGATGTCTTTGTTTTTAATAATTCCCACAAATTCACAGGGAGTTTGGAAACTCAAGCTTCTATTTTTCTTGAAAAGATGACGTTAGGGTATTAGTCTTTGACTCCATTTGGTCTTTTTGTGTGTGACCAAATAGTCTTTTGTTAGTACTTAGAAGTTAGAAGGCTTCCACCGAAAGGCAAAAACTTCACTTTTTATTACCCCTGACCTACTATGTTTGTCTTATTCCATATTTGGTCATATACAACAACAACAAACACTAAAATCCCACACAGTTGGGTCTGGGGAGGGTGAATGTATGCAAACATTACCACTATTTGACGGAGACCCTGGCTCAAAATCACAAAAGAAGCTAGCACCATAGTTATTAATGGCGAGTGGCAAGGGGCGGGCGAGAGGACCTTTTTTATGGCGAGAGGCGTGGCGAGAGGCTGGCAGTCAAATGGCGAACATGCATGCATGCATGCATACATACATATACATATACACACGCACGCACACACACATATGTATGTATGTATAAACACATAATATTGATACTATATATGTATGTATGTATATGTATATGTATATGTATATGTATATGTATATGTATATGTATATGTACATGTACATGTACATGTACATGTACATGTACATGTACATGTACATGTACATGTACATGTAGATGTGTATGTATATGTGTATGTGTGCGTGTGTGTGTATATATATATATATTATGGAGTAATATATAGGAATAAATATTATGCATTGTATACCCTAAAGCCTTAAGGCAGTGATTGAGGCGAGAAAAGCGAGCTAGGCAAACGCCTGACGCAGTGATTGAGGCGAGAAAGGCGACCGCCTTAGGCGCGCCTTAGGGATCTCGCCTCGCCTGGCTTCCTTGAGGCGCTGAGAGCTCGCCTGGTCGCCGAAGGCGCTATAGGCAAGAGAGGCGAGCGCCTTTAATAACTATGGCTAGCACACATCTAGATACAACAAACTAAAGCAGAAAGTTCTACATTGAAGTAGACCACACCCCAAGGTCTACCCTACCACCCTTATACTCGACAATATGCAGCTCAAAATTATTCATAATCTACAAATTTAATATCAACCACACAGTTTGCTTTGAAGTTTTTTTGTCTTATTCCGTATTTGGGTTAAGTTTACTCTAATACTCTCTCCGTCCTATAACTATCTTATCGTTCACTATTCACTTTCACTAGTTAAACTTTATCCAGTTTGTTAGCCTATTTTCGTTACCTGATAAAAAATAGTCATGTCACCTCTAGTTCTGTAGATATTTTGATGTGGTTTTTAAATATATAAATTTTGTCTTTAATTCCACGCCAATTTTATAATAAACTGAATTGAAAATAATTTCAATCAAACATCCTAAAACACAACGGGAAGTTAGTTTTAGGACGGATATGGGAACTCAAAGTGGCTGATTAATCATGAAATTCGCTGCATATTGCCTTAACTATCACAGATGGCATGTGTAGTGTAATGCCCCAAGTATTGTACTTTAGCTTTTATCCAATCTCTAGATTTGATCTTTCATCAAGTCATGTACTAGTATACAGATTGAATGCATGAAATGCTTGAACACGATAATGAAATAATCTTCGCATTGTACAATCAAGAAAATTGTATGCCTACGTACCATTCTTAAGTCTGCACTGCTCATTGAGAGCACCAGAAGCTGGACTATTGGGCCCTGTAGTGTTTGTGTGAAACCATCTTTCGTCTCTCCCTCTTGCTTTTTGTTTCATGTAATTTTCACTCTAAATAATTTTTCCTAGCTATATGTTATTTTATTTGGGTATAGATATTCATTCTTATGCCGTTAATAGGCCTTTAAGTTAGATATCTTATATGCAGGGTTTGAAGCTTACTTAGTTGGTGGATGTGTTAGGGATTTAATACTTCACAGAATACCAAAAGATTTTGATGTGATTACAACAGCAGGGCTTCATCAGGTTCTCAATGACCTTTTGCTTGTCATATAATTCTGTTTTTAATATTTACTTCCTCCCTTCCCTTTTTAAGCATGGTTTTAGGAATTTGCACACATACTGAGTAGACAGTAAATCTTTCTACAAGTCTAGGTAAAAGTAACATAATATGGCTAGTATAACCCTGTTAATGTTTTAAATAATGATATAACATTTACTCCGTGGAATATTCTGGGTTGTCCATGTTTGAGTCTTCACATGATCACTGTTTTGTTACGTTAAGGATGTAATATCTCATTGCAGATAAAAAAGCAGTTTAATCGTGCTATTATTGTGGGACGGCGATTTCCAATTTGCATGGTTTCTATAAGAGATACTGTCGTGGAGGTTGGTGGGATATGTACTTACTAGTCTCGATGCTTGTCAGCTTGGGTGCTTCTTGTTTTTGGATCTTGGATTTATTCTTGCTTGATTCACCAGACTTGTAACAGTCTTTTACACTATAGTCACATTTTGCTAATACTTTGGCACACACATTATACCCTGCAGGTATCCAGTTTTGACACTGGGTCAGAGCAAGTTGGAGAAAATAATAATTACTCAGTTCCTAGAATGCCAAGGCAATATGACGAGAAGGATATATTTCGGTGGAGGAATTCCATGCATAGAGACTTTACTATAAACAGGTATTGTATTACCATTTGCACCTTTTGTTTGTGTGTAGCAGTCCAAGTTGTGAGTGAATAGCTGTCTTCAATTTAATATCTTTCCGCCTTTGCCTTTTTGGCATTTTTAAGGCAGGGTGGTTAGATATGGGGTTTAATTATGGGATTTAACTAAGAGAGTAAGAGTACAGTTTGGGTGAAAACTGACAATTCCATTTGGCACCAAACTTTGTTATCCGAAAAATTGATTGTTGTGAGGAAACATTTGGCAGTGAGTGTAGCAGTGCATCAAGGGTCTAATGGGAATAACCTCTCTGCTTTTTACAGGGGTAAGGTTACGTACATCTTGATCCCCTGGACCTGATGAAGTTGGGATTATAGCGGGTTTGTTGTTGTTGTGTTAACTCATGGTTTGTGTTTTGTGAAATGATGGAAACAGCTTGTTTTATGATCCCTTTAAAAATATAATCTATGATTATGCAAATGCAATGGCGGATCTAAAGTCCTTAAAGGTAAAACTGTTACTTAGTCTGTTGTATGTTTAAAATTATTTCTATTGGAAAGATGCCAATTTCTTTGCATTACATGCCTTCAGCTACAGACATTGATACCCGCTCACTCATCTTTCGAAGAAGATTCTGGTAAGTTATTTTTCATCCAGTTGGCAAAGCATCTCTTAAACGTTACACTACATGCTTCAGTTCCTGTGTATGTGTGTGTATTGAACTCAAGTGAACAACTTTCTAAATTTCCCATTCAGCTCGAATATTGCGGGGCATGAGGTTTGCAGCTCGTCTTAACTTTACATTTTCAGAGGAAATTGACACTGCTATACGGAAACTCTCTCAATCCATCCAGAATATAAACACGGTACAATGGTACACTTTTGAATTTTATTAAGACAATGAAGCCACCACAGCTCATAAAATATGATTTGTTGATTTTTTTTCATGGACAAATAAAAAAGAACAGAAAAAATTAAGTAATGAAAAACTACGGACTTGTGAGGCATTTCTAGAAAATTGCACATTTCCCCTTTTTGTTATTTGAAATGCCATTATTTCTTTTAACAGTCCAGATTAATGGGTGAAGTTAGTTATATGCTTTCATATGGAGCTGCAGTGCCCTCTCTCAATTTGCTCCAGAGATATAACTTGCTTCAGGTTCTGCTACCATTTCATGTGAGTTCCTATGTCATAATTTACATTCCATTGTTGGTTTTCCAAACCATCAGTTGCATTTTGATATACAAAGTATTTGTAAAATAAAAAAGGTAACATTGATGTACAGGCAGCATACCTTGCTCAACAGGCCATCAAACAATCCAGTGAAACTATACAAATGCTGATGGTATGCTATTTTCTCTCCCCTGATGTACATGCATCTCAAATGAGATCATAGATTGTTTTCTAATTTCTAAACTTTCCTTGCCAAAAGTTTTTTATAAGTCGTTCTGCCACATATATGTACCTATGTAAGTTCTCTGTTTTAGAACTCCATTGAAAGCTTTCAAACAACTACAACAACAACAAAAACAAAGCCTTATCCCACTAGGTGGGGTTGGCTACATGGATCTACTCCGTTGAAATATTTTGTATTGAATTACATGCTAGACAGATCTTTTGTCTTTCCACAACTAGACAGATATTTTGTCTCTCCTGATATGTATGGAGTTCAGTTATCTTTTCAAGTGTGTAATGTAGCTGTCACAATCTTTTGCAGAAACTATTTTCCAGTTTAGATAAACTGGTATCCTGCAATAGGCCTACTCATGATAGCGTGTGGTGAGTTATCTTCAAGAAAAGCAGTTAGAGTTTGGTATTATCCTGCATCGGTTTTTTTCCTTATTGGTCTAGTTTTTGAGTGTTTCACCAATTGTAACTGCCATTCAGACTGAGACAAGGTGGAAAGTGTCCTGGAACCTGAGGCACCGTCTCTTGAACATGAATCCAAAAATGGAAAACGTTAACCTTATCATATTGATATATTCCAAACACAAAAATCATTGATTATGACGTAGAAAACATCACTCACTTCCACAATTAAGCTTAAAGAACTCATGGTAAAAATAAAATAAAAAAACTGTAAAAGTTCAATTCAAGTTCCAACCTTTAATTTTCAAATTAAAGCGTAGTTTATCAAATAAGCATATTAATCGAAAAGTCAAACTAATCAAAATATCATTTCTGCAATAGATGGTTCATTCCCATCATAATCATATTGTTCTTTTTTGTTGTATTCCTATTCAAGCTTATCTTTGTCTTCATCATGCATCAAACAAGAGTTGTTCTACATAGAAACATGTTAAAAATTCTTATAATATAATAATATTCTCTGTCATCAACATATTTTCATTCATAATTATTGAGTAGGTTTGAGTCCTGCCACCAGAAACAATTCGTATATTCGCATTCCGTTGTTTCTTATATTCTAAGGGGTTCTATGCTGGGCCTGACCTGATAAATCCATCATTGAGTAGCACACCCATATAGTTGTTGGCTACTTGGCTTAGAAATTTGTATTGGACAGGGTTGCAATCCTGGCATTTCACCTGACGTTAGTCAACAATCCCCAGGACATGCTAGTGGTTCTGACTTTTGCCTCGGTGTTGTATCATGGAAAGTGGGAAAGTGGGGTTGAATTTGCAAAACGACATGTTAAAGCAGCAATTTCATATTTACCCGAAATTTCAGATTCTGATGGCGGCTTCATATTAGAAGATGCCGTGCTTGGTGAAAGAGTTAAAAATTTGGCAGTACAAGTGCAAACTTCTGCACATATGTTGATTGATGCAAACAGCCTCCATGAAATGACATCCAAGCTCTCAGGTGCTACATCATCCTGTTTGGTAGGTACCACCCTCCGTGCCAAATCTGTTTTTCATTTTAGAAAGTTGCACACAAATTAAGAAACACCAAAAAAAGGAATATGTTTCCTTATTTAAGTTTAGTTATAAATGTTCTTTTTACTCCTAATACTCAGTGTTAGTATTTAGTTGAAAAAGAGTAATTATGGGCAGTTTTGGTAGATTAGAGAATATTATCTTTTGCATTCCTAAAATGACGATTATGGGTTACAGAGTGGGCTCTATATTATACTTCCTCTTATCTCATAAAGATGTGCCAAGTTTGACTAGACAAAAATTTTTAAACAGTGAAAATTGAGTGGCTTGAGGAGAGAAACATTGCGAGCCACTTTAAAATTTCCAAATTTAGAAATAGAAACCTTTTTTGGGAAACAAAAAGGAAAGCAAGTCTTTTTGGGACAAAGGGAGTTGTTACTTTAACTTCCACTATGCATAATGCATCTAATTTTGCAAATCAAAGGTAAATAGTCATAAAGATGTTATCTTTAAGCATGCTTTTCGGTTATGGGAAACATAGAAGCTCAAATATAAAGAGGTAAGCTTTAAGCACTGGCTAAAATATGAGTAGATAAATATATAGTACAAATATATATTTTTAGAACTATATTTGAAGAGAACATGAATTGAACTAGAGATTTCTTGTATACAGCATTTCTAAGTCACTAGATTTGAATTCCTTTTTGATAAATGTGAATGCATGATTACCATAGTTATCAAGGCGTCGCCTAGGCGACGCTTAGGCGTCTGGGCGAGGTCATATGGACGCCTAACTGCTCGCCTGGCCTTTTTTGTGCAAACACCGGAGAAGATGACTGGAAGAAGCTGAGAGAGGAAGAAGGAGGAGAAGAAGATCTGAAGAAGACGAAAGAGAGAGAGACTGAGGAAGATCGAGCTTACCTTACTTGCCAACGCTGATTCATTGTGGCAACTGCCGAGATATCCAGCGGCTCCTCTAAACCCTCCGACTCTCTAACTCTCCAATTAGTTATTTTAGGTTAACTAATTTGGGCTGAGTTTATTCAAAGAGGAGTGGGCCTTTACACTTATTAATATAGTTGTTTATTAAAAGAGCATTGGGCCCAAATACTATTTCACTTTTAAAAAGTTTAGAAATATCAAAATATTTACTTATTTTTCTTAATATATT